GACTAGACTTCCTGTCTCAGGAACGTCTCTGGAGTTTTTTTCCCTCCTTTGCTTGTACTTTGCTTGTGTGGAGTGACCATTCAAAGTTACAATGGCACTGAAAAAAGTGACTTATGACCATTTTTCACACTTACGACTGTTGCAGCATCCCCACAGTCATGAGAGGCCAGGCGAGGAGATGCGTGCCTTGATGTGAGTGATATTGAGTTGGCCACACCCAGCCAATAACATGACCACTAACCCATGTCCACTCAGTCACATGACCACCAAGCCATGCTCACCACCTAAGCCACGCCCACAGAACCGGTTGTTAAAAAATTGAATCCCACCCCTGAGACTAAGGCATATGAAGAACTGTTACAGGAACTGGGCATGACTAATCTAGTGAAGAGAAGGACCAGGGGAGACATGATAGCAGTCTTCCAATATTTGAGGGGCTGCCACAGAGAGGAAGGGGTCAAGCTATTTTCCAAGGCACCTGACGGCCAGACAAGGAATAATGGATGGAAACCGAACAAGGAGAGATTCAACCTGGAAATAAGGAGAAACTTTCTGACAGAACAATCAACCAATGGAGCAGCTTGCCTTTGGAAGTTGTGGGAGCGCCATCACTTGAGACCTACAAGAAGAGATTGGACTGCCATTTCTCAGAAATGGTATAGGGTCTCCCGCTTGGGCAGGGGGTTGGACTAGATGACCTATAAGGTCCCTTCCAACACTGATTATCTGTTATCTATTATCTGATCGCCATTTGTAACCTTTCCAGATGGTTTCCAACAAGCAAAGTCAATACAGGTAATCCTCGACTTACGACCACAATTGAGCCCAAAATTTATGTTGCTATGAGATATTTGCTGTGAGTTTTGCTCCATTTTATGACCTTTCTTGCCACAGTTGTTAAGTGAATCGCTGCAGTTATTAAGTTAGTAGCACGGTTATTAGGTGAATCTGGCTTCCCACTCTTACAAGATACAGGCAATATATTTTGTTTACAGTATAAGTTGGGGCAAGTAAGTATTTTTGTGACTTGGACCAAAAGTTCATTAAAAAAAATGTTCTGGTTTGGATGCCACAGGACTCAGGCCAATTGTTTGTTTTGTGAAGTGGTGGGGTTTTTTTGACGCTGGAGTAAAAAGGAAGAATTGGAGGTTTAGAAGAAGAAAAAAGCAAGGAATAGTGTGCCACCCAAAATCAGTGTTGTTGCTGCCTAATTGAGGAGCATACCAACTTTAAAGTGTCCTGGCTGGGGAATTCTGGGAGTCAAAGTCCACATTACTTAAAAGTTTCCAAGAATAAGAAATGCTGACTAGAGAATGTTCTGGAGATCACAAAACCTGTTTAGATACCGGCATGATTGTCAGCAAATAGCAGAAGGAGGACGAGCAGAAGAGGGCCTGGTAAGAACGCTGCAAAAATTGCAGCAAGAGCAACCTGGGAAATGGCCAAAAAACACAAAAGCAAAAAGTAAATCAGTAGTTAATCTTATGACAATATGGCAGCAGGAAGAATTATTTTGAAAGGAAGGTTCCTGAAATAAATAACCTGAAACTGCTACGAGACCGTTGGCCAAAAAACAAGCTAAGAGCAAATTCCACAAATGGCCAGATTGAGAGCGACGTAAAATTGCCACATACACATGAATGATCTCTCCTCTCTCCCCCACCTCAGGCCTGTTCAAGAGACATTGGTGGAAGTTAAAGAAGTCCGGAGCATAACCAGAAAAATAATGCAGAAAAATTACACAACTGACCAGTTGCCTCAATCTCTTCACCCTCAGGACAATTTTTATAAGCATTCAACTTACAACAGTTCATCTTGTCAAGTGACTGTTCAAAGTTACAACAGTACTGAAAAAGTGACTTGTGATTGTTTTTCACACTTAACAACCATCCCCATGGTCACGTAATCAATTAAGGAGAAACTTCCTAAGTTCCTAGTTGTCTTTTGTGAAGACAACTAACCAGTGGAACAGCTTCCCTTCAGAAATTGTGGGTGCTTCAACACTGAAGGTTTTTAAGAGGAGACTGGGCAGTCACTTGTCTGAAATACTATACAGTCACCTGCTTGAGCAGGGGGTTGGACTAGATGACCTCGAAGGTACCTTCTAGCTCTGTTCTGATTAACTCATATTTATGATGGTTGCTGTCCCAACATCTGACACGCAAAGTCAATGGGGCAGCCCGATTCACTTAACAACCGTTTTAGTAATTTAACAACTGCAGTAATTCACTTAACCGTGGCAAGAAACGTCTTAAAATGGGACAAAACTCAACAAACATCTCACTTAGCATAAACAACACACAACATAAATTTTGGGCTTAATTATGGTCGTAAGTGGAGGACTGCCTGTATTTAAATAAATACCTTTGTTTAAAAAAATACAGGTATTCTATCTATATATCACATTTCTGTGACTGTTCCCTCACACAAAGCAATTCTTAACGGCATACAACAGTTGAATAAAACTGCAAATACATTCATAAAAGTCATTTTAAAGGGATAAAAATCAAAATAATATTATAAAAAACATAAAACATACAGATTCCACAGAAAGAGCAAGAATATCAATCACAGTATATCTAAGAATGTCTCTGGTTCATAAAGACCTCTCAGGCCTGATATTATAACTGGGTCTTAAGGGACTTCCTAAACCAGAGGTCTCCAAACTTGGCAACTTTAAGACTTGTGGACTTCAACTGCCAGAATTTCTGGGAGTTGAAGTCCACAAGTCTTAAAGTTGCCAAGTTTGGGGACCCCAGTCCTAAACAATGGTAGGGAAAGAGAGTGAGCCTAACTTGGGGGGGGGGCATGCTTCATAAGAAGAATGCCACAGCAGAGAAGGCCCAACTCCTAGGACCCAGCAAGTCCCTACCTGATGGAACCTATAACGTGCCTTCCCTGCTGTTTCTAACAGGACAGGCTGATGTAATTGGGGACAGGTGATCCCTCAGATAATTGTCCCCATGCCTTGAAGGACTTTAAAAGGTCAGAAATAGCACTTAGAACTGGACCCAGAAGCAGCCAGTGCAGCTCATAAAGCAGAACACACATGACCACTTGCACCATTGCATTCTGCACTAGTTGAAGCTTCCTGATACTCTTCAAGGGTAGCCCCACGTGGAGCAGTCCAATCTGGAAGTGACTACTAGGGCATGAATGACTTAATGGAGTCTCCTTCCATGTAATTTTCCACAGATAGTAGGACAGTTGAATAAAACAGCAGATAAATTAAGAAAAGTCTGGCTGAGCACCACTAAGATGCCCAGTAGGAGCCATAGAAGCGTCCCAGTGAGAAGAACAGATTGCAGCCTAGCTGTTCTGACCGAGGCTTCCTGAGAGAGTAATTAAGCACACGCTTAGCCCAAACATCTCGTTTTATTTCAACGCTGGGAATTATCTGAATTCCCAGCCTGTAATGAGTCCCAAATAGTCCCTTGAGAAAAGCACCCACCTTTCTCTCCTTTGAATTGCTGCCAACAACTAAAGTGCCAAATTAACTGTAAAAAAACAACCAAAGTACCAAGTCCACACAGAGCTTCAAGGTTTAACTCAAACAGAGCGAACGACTTTGCTTCCTGCAAAGGTTTCTCTACCTTTGCCTGTCCTTTATACCTTATGGGAGGGACAATCACCTCCAAGCCTTACTCCCAAGTCACCCCTTTTGTCTTAGCTGCTCTTGCCTTCTAGCAGCTCTGTGCACACACACGCACACTGGGAACAGGCTCCCCTTGTTCCTCTGCCTTGCAGCTGCCAGACTCTGGAGACTCCGGACTCAGCATTCAACTCCCATATGGTCCCGCCTCATCTCTGTTTCAGGCGCAGGACCCTTGTCTGAGTCCTCCCCAGACTCCCAGACTGGTCCCCGTTCTTCGCCACTGTCCAATTCCGCTGCCATCTGCACCGGCTGCCAGCGAACCATACTAGCAGCTTGCTTCAGCCCAACCCAAAAGGGCTCCTGACGATAGCAGAAATTGATTTGACTTGATGCGTGCCACCAGCTTCCAGGAAGCCTTGTCTCTCGAGAATGGGAGTGCACTGTTTCTCAGCCCGCATTGGGATCTTCAGGCAGTGACAGTGGGGAGTTGAGGCAAAGCAATATTTGGCCAGTGAAACAGGGTCAGTAGCTGGCACTGCCTTAGCAAATGGGGAACAAGATGGCCGTGGAAGGCCAAGTCTGCCTGTCAGCTGTTAAGGGTCACTCTGCCAGCTCAGGAAACACTGCCCAGGTATGGGGGGAAAAGAGAAGCAAAACTGGGGTAGATTTGGGGAATAGGCTTCCTAAATTATCCTATAAATCAAGTGTGGGCAACTATGAGAACTTTATGACCTGTGATCTTCCAACTCCCAGAATTCATAGTTGGCCATTTTAGAAACTGTCATAACAAAATAATACAGTACGTATCAACCCAGGAAAAAAAAAACTAAATATTGGTATACTAGTTAAAGTTGCCAGCCAAGAGGCCACAATGAAACATTTTAAGTTCAAGGAATAAAATGTATTTACTGCTGTAATTGGATAACTTTGTTTTTAATTTTTGTATCAAATTATGAAAAAACACTAGCATAGCAAGTCTCAGGGGTTGGTACTCGTTATGGTTTGAGAACCCTGACATATGCAGAGACATCATTTTTCACTTCTTCTTTCTACAAAAAGCATCAAGCTACCCACTTCCTTCTCAGGAACAAACGTTCTTTAAAAGTGATCACTGCTCTGTCTTGGTCTTGCTTGACAGACCTTCAAAACTCCAACTCTGCAAAAAAAATTTTTTAAAAAAAACCTTGAACTATTTTTGCCATTTTAAACATTTTAACTATGTGAGGAGTAAAGAGAGAAACATAAGTATGTGCACCTTTGCGTTAACACATTTCATTTTATTATTTTTTATGTTGAAGTACCGTACAAAACTTTTCATTTTCTTTTTATCTTACAGTAACAAATTCTGACGCAAATACTGAAGCTTACAATGATGAAATAAACACTTCTTTCCTTTTTTTTTTTTTTTTTTTAAAGTGAATGAGCCTGGAAAGTATGGCTGGAATGATGTGAGGAAGAGAAATAAGAGAGGCGTTTGGTATTATTGCATATATCTAGGATGAGAACACACACACACACACACAAAACTTTTGCTGCTGGAATCCATTCATTCGAGCTCACTCTGTTCTGCAGGGGAGGAACATGCAGATCCAGAGGGGCATATGGCCGTGAACCGAGAAAGAGCCCCCTCACCCTTGCTAACTGGAAAAGAACAATGAAAATTAAAGAATAATAATTCCATCCTTTACTGGAGGTCAGCAATGGCATCAAAAAGGGGATTTGATAGGAACATGAAAGAGGAAAAAAAAAATATGCAGGCTCAGGCCAAGAGAGCATTCGGTGCCATGTGCCCGCACGAGACAAAAACCACAGGGGTGGGTGTGTGTGCGATATGGGTTGTACTGATCAAATGGCTTTAGACCAGCCCTTTGGAAATGGAAACCAGCGCTGCATAAATCAGGCCAGGCAATACCGGTAGACGAAAGCCTACGAGTGAGAACTACCGAGAACTTCCTCCCCTTCCCCTTCCTTTTGGCCACAAGTTTGGAAATGAGTTTATGGCTTTATGCCAAAGAGCATGCAGTCAAGCCACCAGTCTCCAGGTTCATCCAGACATAGGGACAGGTACGGCCCTGAGAAGCAGGACTGGTTGGGGGATGCCCTGTCAGAAAGGATGTTACCCCTGGTGTCATGGGAAGGCTGAGGAACTCCAGCATGGCTTGCTCGCCTCAGCGTCCGGGTTCAAAGAAGAGGCAGGCTCTGCATCCTGGTTAAATGGAGCCATGGGGGGGGGGGGGGAAGGCTGGAGTGTGAGGGCATTTGAATCGGGCATCATTCCCTCTGCTCCACCGCCCGTTCAGCAGCAGGTAAAGTGCTTGGAAAGCGAGGCAGATTGAAAGAGTCGGGAGAAGCTTCCAAAGACCACGAGATAATGGGGTTTTCTTTTCCGCTCTCCATTTTTGCATATTTAAAAACAGAAGCAGCTGCATAGGAAGCTTAAAAACAGATTGCTGTCATGTCACTGTACACTGGGGAAGGAAAAGAAAGCCAGCAAAAGGGGAGGCGGGGGGGCAGGAGTGTCACTGCAAGGCAGGCTGAGTTTTGCCAGGTGAATGCCAACATAGACGGAGGCAAGGCCTGAGGAGTTCTTAAAACCATCTCCTCCAACCCTTCCCAGGCGAATCCAGGAGGGAGAAAAACGAGGAAAGGAAACAATGGTCTCTTCCCAAGTTCTTAGGGATTGCCAGCCTAGGAAGCACCTTTTTTACACGCCCCCACCCCCCACCCCAAGGATAGCTTCTCTGCAGAGATCGTGCCCAGCGGTGTAAAGTAGGACCCCTAGCACCAAAACACAAAAGCCACTAGGAGTGAAGTGAAGAAGGAATTCAAAATGCAGCAGCAAATGTAAAAAAAAAGAAGAAAAAAAAAAGTTAGCTTAGAACAGTGATTTTTAAACCTTGACCGCTTTAAGATGCACGGACTTCAATTCCCAGAATTCTCCCGCCAGCGTGCTGAGCCAAAGGCCAAATCTCTTAACATCGTCAAGGTTGGAAAAAAAAACAAAAAACCCCAACTTTAGAGAAAGGAGGGTAGGCGGGAAAAGGAAGTAGAAAGAGGAGGGCCACCAATGGAAAGCAAGGTATTGAACAATAGGCAGAGTTAACGATGAACACAAGAAGGAAATATGAGGGGTTGGGAGGGTTTTTTTTTTTATCCTCATGGGGCAGTCAAGGAAAGGCAGGACGTTCATCGGAGTTTCTGGAAGGGTAGGAAGTGGGGAATGGTAGGGAAGGGAAGGGAAGCGTTCATCTCGGCGGAGGCTGGGAGAGGATGGGGTGAGCCAGCGTGACATTGAGTGAGTCATTGTGCTGCACGAGGGAGGTGTGCTTGTAGTGCAAAACCAACTCCTTAAGCGAGGCGTAGAGGTTGTAAGGTTCTGCAAAGCCGTAGCCCGTTGCCGTCTTGTAAATCACGCAGTGTTTTGTGTCTCCATCTACCCTGTAGGAACAAAAAAATGAAGAACTTCATTAAATTAACAATTAACACTTTGGGTCATTAAACATTGTTCAAGAAAGACAAAGAACCGCATAAAGGCAATGAGGGACAGCCGGGAATTGGTGGGGGGGGAGAACGGGGGAGCACAGGAAGAAAGAGAAAGTGGATGTTATCCATGATGCAGAATTTAGAAGAATATTGAAAATTTTCTTGGAAGAACAGGTAGTCCTCGGTTAACAACTGTAATCAGGTCTGGGAACTCTTGTCGCTAAGCAATGTGGGCATAAAGTCAAAAAGTCATGTAACCGCACTGACTCGTGATGGCAATTCCGGTCATTAAGGAATCATGGTTTGTTATATGTGAAGTCATGTGACTGCCACTTGTGGCCAGCTTCCCTAGTGGCTCTGCTTGTTGAAAGTCAGCAGTGTAAATTGCAAATGGCAGCCACATGACTGTGGGTTGTTGAGTGGAATTGCAGGCTGGTAGCCAAGCTTCCGAAATTCAGTCATGTGACCGCTGGGATAGCTGGTGCATTGAGGACTGACTGACCATAAGCCTCTTCGTTCAGCACCATCATAATTTCAAATGGTCACTGAACAAGAGGTTGCTAAGCAAGGACCACCTGCGTTTATTGAAGTAAACAAACAAAAAAGGCATATATTGTATCAAAAGAAAATGCAGGTCACGATTGCTATTTTTAATGCTTTAAGATTTTTTTTATTGGGTTATAAAATAAAATAAGATGCAAAATAGGAAAGTAAATAGGAAAACATGGGGAGGGAGAGGGGGAAGAGAAGTGAGGGAGGATAAGAGAAAAAGAAACATTGGCTTCCCACTCTCTCTGTTGCAGTAAAATAAGGCATTAATATCAAATCACAACTTTCTGCATTTCATAATAATATGAACAAGCTATTTCAATAAAGATCTATGAATCTAATTGGTAAAACCCAAAATAAAAATTTCATTCTTTTCTACTTCAAGCAAAAAGTTCAGAAGCGTATAGAAACAAAAATACTTATATTCTTTTCTTTAATCAAAATAGTTTAATTTTGCCATTTCATCAACTTCTTCAGCCATTCGTCCGTGTTAGGAATTGAAGTGTCCTTCCGTTTTTCTGCATACAATAGTCTTGCTGCAGCCATAATCGCCATTTTTGAAGAAGCATTTTGTAATAGGTCCCCAACCTTTCTGGTGGGATGAGGATACAGGGAATGGCTGCGCACATGCCTGCCATTCCCACAAATGTACCGTGTTTCTCCAACAATACGGCCTCCCCCAATAGGAAGTCCCAGCATGCTTTATAGGCATAAAATCAAATTAAGCCCCTCCCCCCAAATTAAGGCCTGTATTAAACATGCGAAATGGGGGGGGGGATGGCGGGGATGGGGGTGGCTGTTAGGAAGTACTTTTGTTGCATACCCAGATATGGTGCTGCCTGCATTGACCTCGGTGTTGGTGGGGCACTTCCGCCACCGTTGCTTTCCCTTCTCCCCGTGCTGCCGCGGCGTTTAAAGCAACGCCGCGGCGTTTGGCGCAGCCACACGCGGCCAGCCAGAGCTCCTCCCTGCAACCGGAGCCCGGAGGCTTTAGGCGCTCCTGTTGCCGCCTTCCCTTTGCCTTTGAAGGCAAAGCCAATTCTTTTAAAAACGACGCCCTACTACGACAAAGACTCCCCTGCCCGAGAGGGCAGCCCAACCCCACATGGGGAGGCGAATCTCCTGGGGCCGCAGCGCAGGATCGGCCCACCCTGGGAGAAGTGCCCAGCCGCCATCCCTGCCTGGCGCCAGGCAGAGCGTGAAGAGCTTCGCCTGGGGTGCCCAGCGCAACTGACAGGTGGGCCCTCCTGCCCAGTGGCGGAGCTCTCGCCAAGGCAGCAAGCGCCTCCCCACCAGACTCTCCGCTCATCCCGCCAGGGCCACGCCAGGGCCATGTGGGCTGGGCAGAGCTGGGAAAGCGAGCCGTGGGTGCGCACCCGCCCACCAACCGAAAGAGCCGGGCCGACCTGAGCTTGGCTTCCTTTCCAAGTCCCTCCAGCCGAAGGGGCCACCAGGAGAGGCTGCCCGAGACAGTGATAGCGCCCACCCTTCCGCGGACAGGGAGGGAGGTGACGGCAGCGCTGCTTCCCTGGCCAGAGGGCCCGGCGGAGAGAGCCCAAAGCCGCCCGTCCTTTCCACCCCTCGCCCAGCCCATCCCCGAACCCATGAATCTCCAAACGTGCCGGCAGCTCCAAACGCTGCAGCGGCATGGGCATCGGGCATTGGCGCTCACTCGGCGGGGCTCAGCTTGGAGGAGGACGCGGCGCAGGCCGTCGCCTTGCCTCCCTGTCCACGGATGGGTGGGCGCTATCACTGCCTCAGGCGGCCTCTCCTGGTGGCCCCTTCGGGTTCTGGCTGGAGGGACTTGGGAAGGAAGCCAAGCTCGGGTCGGCCGGGCTCTTTTGCTTGGCAGGCGGGCGCGCACCCGCGGCTCGCTTTCCCAGCTTTTCCCAGCCCATACGGCTCTGGCACGGCCCTGGCGGGATGAGCGGAGGGTCTGGCGGGGAGGCGCTCGCTGACTTGGCAAGAGCTCCGCTGCCGGGCAGGAGGGCCTGCCTGTCAGCTGCGCTGGGCGCCCCAGGAGAAGCTCTTCACGCTCTGCCCAGTGCCAGGCAGGGATGGTGGCTGGGCGCTTCTCCTGGGGTGGGCCGATCCTGCGCTGCGGCCCCAGGAGATTCGCCTCCCCACTTGGGCAGGGGAGTCTTTGTCGTACCGGTAGTAGGGCGTCGTTTTTAAAAGAATTGGCTTTGCTTTCGAAGGCGAAGGGAAGGCGGTGACAGGAGCGCCTGAAGCCGAGTGTCTCCACTGGGCTCCGGTTATAGGGAGGAGCCCTGGCTGGCCGCGTGTGGCCGCGCCAAACACCGCGGCAGCACGGGGAGAAGGGAAAGCAATGGTGGCGGAAGGTCTCCCGATACGAAGTGCCCCACCAACGCCGAGGTCAACATCCAAGCCGTTGCCACCCTCCCGCCTGAGGATGCAAGGGGGGGGGAATTAAGTCAACCCCGAAAAGACGGCCTAGCCATTTTTTCGGGGGTCAAAAAAAAAATAAGGCCCAGCCTTATTTTGTGAGAAACACGGTAGCTAAGTAGCTTCATGCACAAGCGTGCTTGCCCATTGCTCATGCAAGTAGAGTTGCATGCACAAACATGCTCACCCACCACTTGTGCAGCCTGGTTCCAAAGAGGCTGCAGCCTGATACCGGGCCATGCACTATGGGTTGGGGATCCCTGTACGGGGTGATAAGAGAACCACATGCAATGCCCTTTCATATTTGAATGGGTGCACGGATTTTTTTAAAAAATAAATTATATGCATGTTTTGTTTTTATCCTTGTTAAGCGTTGGTATTATTTGATTAAGATAGGTGGCCCTATATTTTTGCAAAAGAAATGTGGAAATGGATGGTGCATGTTCCTAAGCAACTTCTGAAGATGTTTACCGTGAAAAACAAGGAATATTTCTAGATGTTACAAAGAAGAGAATCTTGGCATCCTTTGCTGTGTGAGATAAAACAACTTTTAGAGAATATTGGCTACATCGTACCAAAAAAAGGAACGAAAGCTGCATTTGAGTTTCACCACAACACAGGCCCCCAACTGATTCAAGCAAGTCAACTAAAATGAATGAAGTTTTTAAATGAATGAAAAAAAATAATACTTAGGATAACTCACACCACGGAGCAGGCGTAGCACCCTCGCTGGCTGCTCTCCCGAATAAGAAAGGTTCCATCACGCTTGCCCACCAGCATTTCCTCTGCCTGGGTGCGGTTGATCTTGCCTACATACCAGGTCCGCTCATCGTGATGGGGCAGGTCTTCTTCATCCTCCATCATGGAGTATTGGCTGCAAGGCAGAACAAATGGTGAGAACACAAAGGGGAAGCCTGGCCAGTTTTCCCCAAAGGCAGCTCTGCAGAAGACTGTCCTTTAATAGGGCACTGCCACTACCCACAGAGAATCCCACCACCTGCTGGCCAGAGTCCTGAACCATTGGCATAATCCTACACCTTGATTTGTCTTAAGATGCTTCCTATTGCGGATCCTAAGTATCTTAAGTGTCCTATTAAGACACTTCCTATAGAGAGCTGTGGTGGCACAGTGGTTAGAAAGCAATACTGCAGGCAAAGTTTGCTCACGGCCTGGAGTTTGATCCTAGTGGAGCTCAAGATTGACTCAGCCTTCCATCCTTCCAAGGTCAGTAAAATGAGGACCCAGATTGTTTGGGCAATATGCTGATTCTGTAAACTGCTTAGAGAGGGCTGTAAAGCACTGTGAAGCGGTAGATTAGTATTGCCTCCAAAACAATGACTATGCTCTATTCTCCACTTTCAAGATGATGAGACATTACTAAACATCCTGTCCTTTTACAAAGTAGCAATTTCCTTCCTTAAGAAGACAAGAGATGTGTTGGAATTCCAGGCCTATGTAAAACAAAATGATCTACAGCTCAGTCCCAAGAGCTTATATTGATCCCTCTGCATTTTTTGGTAAGCTTATTTAAAATCTTGCAAAGCTGATATTTATCCTGGTGGACCGATGCACTGACTTGATGTAGGATACAGACAAAAGGCCCATGACCGATTGTACAGACCACACTCAATTTGTGTTATCTGATTCTTTTATTAATTCAAGACTGTTAGGAATGTAAGTCACCTAACAGTTGGGTTGGAAAATATATAAACCAGGATAGACATTTTCATACTGTCTCTTTAAGGGAATGCTAAAATTGTAACTGGGTGTGGTTCCTCAAATGGCCGTAAGATGGAGCCAGAAATCTGGGTTGTTCTGTTCTGTTGTTGCTGAGAGTGTTGCCGTTCCTGCATTTCTCTATTGACTGTTGCTGATCATCGTTATTCTTGGATTTGATGTGAGTCTGTTGAACTGTTTATGATACTGGGCTTTGTTATTTGGATTATCCCTGGACTGAAAACTGACTGATTTAACCATGTATGACTTGACTGCTTGTTGGTCTTTGCTTAACCATTTACTGGAAGTAAAATCCTACGTTTTACTATACAGTGTATCTGTGTGCTGGTTGTGTGTTATTCCTTACCACTCCCTGTGTGCACTCATTCTCCTAACGGGGAATTACCTCAACGATGACCATGAATTGTATACACCTCTGTTCCAAAATAACTCCGGGTGATGCCCAGCAACAACCAAAATGAAAAGAAAAGCAATGCCCAAATAATAAATTCATGAAAACCAACACCTCATTCAACCATTCATTTTCGCATTACGGTGTTAGATGGTCTGACAGCTAGATCATAAATAAAGGCTCTCTTGAACAGCTTTGTTTTAATGGCTTTTCTGAACATCAGAGGTAATGCGGCCATTCAGATTTCTGGTGAAATCAAAGCACAGCGAAACAGAAATGTCTCGTCTGTCCCACCCCCAAATCTCTCACAGGAGAAGAACCAGCAATCCCTTTTCAATTCTTTCCAATTCAAAGGAGTGGGATCCAGGATCCAGTCGAAGGAGACAGTCTTGCAAATATCCAGGTCTCAAGCCAGATTGTTGGGAAACTTGTCTAACATCTGTTTACATTCAAGGCCCTTGAGAAAGACCAACCTAGAGGCTTTCCTACAGGTTGTTTGAAGCCCTAGAGGTTGTTTGAAGCAGATACAAAAATCGAGGAAGCACGCCTAAAGGTTAATAGCCAGTTCTTCTGCCAGATCATCAAGCAGCTTCAAGTCCCATCCCAATGCATGGAGCCCCCCAGGGAGACTCGGTGAGAGGGCAGGCTGCTTGAAAGTAGCTAGCCTCTGGGCTGATGCTGCCCTGTCCCTTTAAGACCCCACCCCCCAGCCAGCCAAGCTGCTTAGAAAAGAACAACTATAACAGCCCTGCAGCAAAGCAGCTGGGTGTGGTATGATGGTGGTTATGGTCATTGTAGTGGAGCAATTGGTGGTGAATTGGTGGTGGGTTTTGCTATTCTGTATAGGAAACTGAGAGCAACCTGAAGTTAAGGAGAACCGTAACTTACTTCTGCTAGCAAGGAACAGTAGACCTGGGGACAACGTGACAACAAACTGAGACTACTATCCAAGAATCTGCTGGTGTGTGGGTTGCCTAAAGTCCAGGAAGGCTGGAGAGGGCCCTCGGAGGTATGGGAGCCCACTGAACTGGGTGCAGACCAGAGGTGGTATTCAGCCGGTTCTGACTGGTCCTGGTGGACCCGGTAGGGAAAATTTTGACTGGTTTGGAGAACTGGCAAATGCCACCTCTGGATGGCCCTGCCTACCCGCCCCTGCTCTTACCTCTCTATATTTTGTTGTTTATTAGCTCAGTTGATTCGCGCGGTTGAGCGGATTGCCGTGCCTCAGATGAGCTAAAAAACAGCACAGCTCACCAGCGTTGATAGAGAGGGCCGTGTTTCAGCCCTGCGCATGCGCACGCAAAGCAAAGCTAGCTCTTCGAACTGGTAGGAAGTTTTGAAACCCACCACTGGTATAGACAAAAGGATCCTGCGGCAGTCTCCAGCTCAAACGATGAAGTCTTATGGAAGGGATTCTGCCACGCCCACGGGAAACAATACTAAAGCGACAATGCAAGCTTGTCCCTGCAGTACAATGCAAATAAGTGCCAACAACCCAACTCTTTGGCCACCATTAGATTTCCCCTTAGGAGCACTTTCACTTTTTACCCCGTTCCTTGATGTTCTGGTTGATGCTGGACCCAGGTTCTTACCAACCCATCCAGCTAGGTCTTGGTCACATTTCTTTTAACTGGGGACATCAAGATTTGAACCGCTGCAACCCAAACAGCAATAGCCTTTAGACTTATATGCCATTTCACAGTGCTTTACAGCCCACTCTTAGTGGTTTACGGAGTCAGCGCATTGCCCCCAACAATCTAGGTCCTCATTTTACCACCTTGGAAGGATGGAAGGCTGAGTCAACCTTGAACCGGTGAGGATTGAACTGCTGGCAGTGGGCAGTTAGCCTGCCATGCTGCATTTTAACCACTGGGCCTCCACGGCTCTTATAAATCATAAGCACTTATCCAACTGGGTTGGCTTCACAATATAGGAATTAAATCTAGACCACCTATAGGAGAGATCATGTTGTGGAAGATTATAAGAAGCTCACCGAAGTCTCTGCCACAAAGATGCCATTCCAATCCCCTATTAGCTGTCCATTTGTAACTGGACATACCTAAGGGTGGGATTCAAAAATCCCAACAACTGGTTCTCTGCCTGATTGGTGGGTGGGTGTGGCCATGGTGGGCATGGCCTACTGGAACTTGGGGAGGGGGCATTTTTCGCCTTCCCCAGACTCCAGAGGCCTCCCTTGCGTCTCTGGGAGGGCGAGAACAGCCTCCCCTGGGCTCCGGAGGCCCTCCAGAAGCCGGAAACAGGCCCGTTCTTCTAGACTTCTGGAACTTCCGGGAGGCTCATTTGTCGCCCTACTAGAGCATCTGAGCAGACCCTGCACTTACCTCATCCAAAATGGGCCATGTGGAGACTCCTGGGAGGGGCGGGGTGAGCAGGGCCAGCCAGTTGGTTCCATTAACGGTTCGACGAACTAGATGTATATTTGACATCCGGTTGGCCCGAACCGGCTGAATCCCACCCCTGGACATACCAGTTTCAATCTGGAACTTTCTGAATACAGAACAGCCTCATGTAGACACACACCTTGAGATGATGAGCCTTCTTGGAGCAGAATAAGAATAGAGCCACTTACTCCTCAGTTTCACTCTTGATACCGAGCCATTCATTGATCTTCTTCTGACGAGTCCCCTTCTGGGTCAACCATCTGGAGGCATTTTAAAAAAGGAACAAAAACTGTTCATTTTTAAACAGCATTTAAGGGATGCACGCAAAGCTGTTCTTCCAAGCTGCAGCCAAGCCTAGTAAATGAAAATGTTGACCACAACAAGAAAGCATTGGTGCATAATTATAAAATGGTAATTATTTGCATTGCCCCAATGGGTTGGAAAAATTCTAATGTTAAAAGAACAGTTTTTTTAAAAAAAAATATCATTAAATAACTATTGTAAACTTAGCTGTCCCAAGATCATGCTAATATGTTCTGTTAGCTAACCAGAAAAATAACATTTTATAGGCAGGTCATACTCCCTATATCAGATAAGCAAAGCCACTCATTAGACAGCTTTCGTCAGCATCTTTCTTAGGCTTTTAACTATTACACACAGTGTAGCAATTAGGTTGAAAGCTTTGCAAGTCTGTACTTGCTTAGGGAATGAGAGCATTTGCATTTTGTGGAGAGGCCACTGGGGGGCAGGATTACTCTATCAGAAAGGCAGCTGGAAATTAAGGTAGCTCTTGATTTTGACCCTAACGGAACCCAGAATTTTCTATCACTGGGACCTGATGGCCAGATTTCAAGGTACCCACACGATTGACCCAATTTTATGACATTTTCTGCAGCAGCCGTTAAGCAAATGGGCCCATTGTTAAGCAAACCCACTGCCTGCAATAGGCGATTTCTTTTTGCCCGACATGAGAATGCTGGTTTCTGGCAAAAAAAGTTGTAAATTGCAGTCATGGGATCTCAATACGCTTCGAACGGCTGGAAATGAGGGCCAGTTGTTGAATGCCCACTGGTCGCTAAGTGACCAGTTGTAAGATGTACAGACATCCGACCCATTTGGTTAGGGAAGGCAGATTTTAAACCGCATTTATGCTTGTGTTTCTCAGGACAGTTACGAAGAGCACATACACTAGGTACTGGTCCCGGAGTTTGCGCAGCTGCAACAGGTCAGGTTTAAGACTGTTCATGCGCTTGTCGATCTCCCGGTTTTCGGAGGCCTGCTGTTTGAGGTCCTGCTCCAGCTTCATCTTGCTGTCATGAATTTCGGTAATGCGAGACTTCAGCTTTTCTGAATTCATCATGATCCTAGGGGAAAAACGATAGGGACAGGCTGTTAGAGAAGCAAGAAAGGCCGAGAAGTTGTCTTAAACAGAGCCGGTTTGGTGAAGTGATGGCCTAGACCAGGGGTCTTCAAACTTGACAGCAATAAGACTTGTGGACTTCAACTCCCAGAATTCCTCCTCTGGTCATGTTAGCTCAGGAATTCTGGGAGTTGAAGTCCACAAGTCTTAAACTTGCCAAGTTTGAAGACCTTTGGCCTAGAAACTAGGAGAGTATGAGTTCTAATCCTGATTTAGGCATGAAAGTTGACTGGGTGACTTTGGGCCAATCACCAGGAGACTGAATTCTAGTCCCATCTTAGGGACTAGAATGCTTAAAGCTGACTGGATCATTTGACTAATCACTGGAGACAACTGAGTTCTAATTTTAGTTTAGTTTACCTTACTTCATTGTTATTGCACCTCATACAACAAAATTAAATATCATCTTCGGTGTACATTATAACTATAAAAATAAAACACAAATACACATTCTTCGCATTCTATACAATTGAATTGAAAACCCCTGATATCTCGCTTTAGGAATGAAAGCCGGCTGGGTGACTTTGGGCCAGTCGCCAGGAGACTGTGAATTCTAGTCCTAGCTTAGCCACGAAAGCTGTCTGAGTGATTATCAGCCAGCCACGCTCTCTCAGCCCAAACCCACGCCACAAGAGTTGCTGTGGGGAACATAGGAGGGTGGAGTATTTAGCTACGTTTGCCACCTTGAGTTACTTATAAACTAATAAAGGTGGGGATAAAAACCTAATAAATAACAGCTCTGTTAGGATATGTGATGGAATGTAATGAGGAGATGGATCCCCAGCAGGGAGGCAGCTGCATTCCAGAGCAGGGGTCTCCAACTTTGGCAACTTTAGGACTTGTGGACTTCAACTCCCAGAATTCCTCAGCCAGCATGAAGCTTCAATTCTGGGAGTTGAAGTCCACAAGTCTTAAAGTTGCCAAGGTTGGAGGCCCCTGTTCCAGAGAAGTAAGACACAGTTTAGCCCAGATATTATGATGTGTGAGAGAAAGAGAGTGAAAATAGCTCCTTGCTTAATGCTTCACAGAATATACAGTATTGCAGAAGAGATAATAGAGTCTTTAGTCTGGCAAGATTTTGCCTATAGGTGTGAAACAGTAAAGAACTCAGCTTGGAAGAATATGGTGTCTTTTTTGGCTTGATGTTTGACAAGATGAGAACATAGTAAAAATGAAAAATCCCCCCCCTCCCAAGTTTAGACACAACCACATCGCCTTCTTAATAACACTACAGAAGTGGTTTGTCTCAAGTGTTTTTCAGGATTTTTTTTTAAAATTCCAGTCTAACCTACAATTCTGAGTTTCCCATCCAAATACCAGGTCTAATCCTGCTGAGATTTTTCAAATCAATAATGGTGGCCCACAATAAAAGCATTTGGAAAGGCCACAAGAGCAGCACCAAGAATTGCCTGCAAATGCTAGCTTTTAACTTGACAGCTGGGGAAAATTAAACACCCAGGGATTAACCCTATTAACTGTACTTCATTCACTTCAATTAACTGGAAATTGTGGTGTGTTTTTTTCTGGGCCCCGCCCTCTTCTCTGTTCTGTTTGTGGAAATTCAGCCCGGTGGGGGAGGGGGGGAAAAGATGTAGCTTTATTCTGAAGGGGTCTCACCGCTGCACCTCCTTCTCATTCCCCTCCCTCCGGAAGCGCTCCACGTAGTCCCGGCTGCATTTCTCCTGCGTCTGGCACTGCTCTTCAAAGATCTTGATGGTTTCGTTGAAGGCCTCGATGGCCGTCCGTTTCATTTGCAATTCCTGAGCAGGAGGGAGAAAGAGGACGGTGAAGTCAGGAGGAAATACTATGGAAATCCATCATAAATAAGTAGCAGGTACAGGTGGTCCTGAACGACTGTAACAGAGCCCACCTGTCACAGGTGTAAATCATGATGACTAAACTGACTGCTTTGATACAAGGGGGAAAAAAAACACAGGTACTCTTGTTTCTACTTGGAAACCGTTTCTGGACTTTGTGCTTGAGGTGGAGGGGAAAATGAAACTTTGATTTGGGGTTTTACTAATTAGATAGACCTGTTGTTATAGAAATGGCTAGCTCATACTACTACAGTATGTAAAAGTGAAAAGTTGAGGTCCGATGTTACTTCTTATTCTACTGTCTAAAGTGAGAAATCAATTTTTTCCCTTCTTCACTATACTTTTCTCTTTCCCCCCTATTATATGCTTTTGTATTTTTGTAATTTATATTATGAACCAATAAAAAGGATTGACATAGCAAAAAGAAAAAAAGAAAAAGTGACGGTGATAGGGTTGATTTTTGCAGCGGTTGTTAAGCCAGCCCATGGCTTGCTAGTGGTGCAGTTTTGCCCCAAACCAGAAGTGCAGGTTTTCGGCGAAACTGTTGTAAAACGTAATTCATGTGACAGTGGGATGCTGCAAATGATCATAAATGCTGACTGGCTGCTGTACCCCACCGTTCCCCACCGCTACCTGCAGTCACGTGAGCGCCTGAAGTTCGGTCATGTGACTGCAGGTGGCGGTGGGGAATGGTTGTGTTGGGGTAATTCCCCGTTAGGAGAATGAGCGCATACACGGAGACGTATTTGAGGGAAGTGTTTGAATAATACACAGAACACAGATACACTGTACAGTAAATGTAGGTTTTTACTTCCAGAAACATTAAGCAAAGTTTAAGATAAGCAGTCCAAAGTCATTCACAGGTAAATCAGTCAGTTTTTCAATCCAGGGATAATCCAATAACAAATTCCAGTGTCAAAAACAGTTCAGTATCAGACTTACATCAAATCCAGTAATATCAGTCAATTAGGAAAAATGGAGGAAGGCAATACTTTCCAACAGAAGGAAACAGATACACTCACACTCTCTTCTGAGACTAAGACGAAGACAAACCAGGTTTCTGGCTCCATCTTATGGCCGTTTGAGAAACCACACCTAATTACAGTTTTGCATTTTCTTAAAGATACAGTTTTAAAATATTTATCCTGGTTTATATATTTCTAACCCAAATACCTATTAGGTGACTTATATTCCTAACAGGTTGTAAGTATGAATCCGGATTGTAAAAATTCCCTAGTACAGTGGAGACTAACCTTTTTGGTGCCAAGTGCCCAATGCCAAAATGCAACATGAAAGCCAACCCGTGCATGCGCCGATTTTTGGCTTCCAGGTTGCAGGAAGCTTTCCAGGCCCAAAAAGGGGCACGTTGTTTTCGCTTCAAGGTTGGTGCAGGAGGCCTTCCAGGCCAAAAATGGGGCGGGGGGGGGGGCACCACCCCCACACATGCACCCACATCCCCTTACACATGTACGGCAGAGACCAGAAAACCAGCTGGCCAGCGGGAGGTACATGCAGTGGAGCTGGGCTGGGGCAACGGCTGGCATGTCCGCAGAGAGGGTTCTGCATGCCACCTATGGCATGCGTGCCATAGGTTTGCCATCACGGCCCAAGAAGGTCTGTCATAAACATACCAAGTTCTAGACTAGGGAGTCCTGGCCTGTTCAGAACTGGGCCGCAAAAACAATGGGCGGGCATGTAGTTCCACATGCGCATGCAGCAGGCCGGCAAGCGCGTGCAGTTCCATTTCTTCACCCGCCACTTGTGCTGAACCATCCCCTCTCCCCCACCTGGTCTTCAATGCCAGAAAGGTTGGAGATCCGGATCGCTGTTCTAGATCAGGGATGTCAAACTCGATTTCATTGAGGGCTGCATCAGGGTTGTGTTTGACCTTGGGGGGCTGGGGTGGGCGTGGCCAGGATGGGGTGGCCAGCATGATGTCACTTGTGTTGGGGGGCACCTTTGGTGGCCCGAACGCTCTGCCAGCAAAAACAGGCTCCTGAGCTCCGTTTTCAGCTGCGACGGCCTCCTGTAATCCTCTGTCAGTGAAAACAGAGCTCGGGAGGGCCGTTTTGGCTGGCAGAGGCACCACACGGTCTGGTCCTTCATTATTTCCAGGGCAGCCCCACAGGCCAGATCTAAGTACCCTGCAGGCCGGATCTGGGGCCCGGGCCTTGAGTTTGACACCCCTGTTCTAGACGCTTGACTAGGTTGTAAGTCAAGGACTACCTGCAGTCTTTAAAGAAGGTTTTAAAGTGGGCAGGCTTTAAGTACCTGCGAGGTGCGTGTGTATTCTTCGTACAGAAGGTCGTACTCTCGACTCTTGTCCTGGTACTGCTGGTGATAGACTTTCAGCTGCTCCCCAACTGCCTCCACACTGTCCTCCTTCACCACCTGGTCCTGCCAAAACAGAACAAAGGATTAAGAGAATGGCCGTTACCATCCCTGGAAATGATACGAGAGACGTTCATGAGGAGCATCCTCCCCCAAAGCAAGAGACTCCAAAATATTTTGCCAAGTTTCTCTTTAAAGAAAGAAAGCCTCCTTAAGACAGTTAGCTTAACTGCTCTGGGAAAAGCAGAGCTGGCAACTTTCTGTAATTCAACCTTCCTGGGTTTTAAGATTCTTGGCTCCTCTTCAGTTCAGAGAAAGCCACTTTTCCCTTCTTTGTTCCAACAGAGAATTGCCTGCATATTCCTCCCTTCCCATGCTCTTTTTGGTAAATTAGTGAGGCCAGCAGACCAATTCTTCCATTGATTAATTTGAAGATTAATGTCTGGTCACCAAAGACAGCCTTTTCAAGTCTGCTGCCTTCCAAATGTAGGAATAATGGAAATAGTTGCACATAATACCTCCAGGTTGCCGGGACAGCGAGCATCTAAGACTGCCGTGGTTAATTGCTGCTGAATGTCACTGTCTGATATATTAATCGAAATCCATTTTTTAAATTTAGCAGCTGTAGCAGCTGAGGTAACGAGCTCAGCATTCTCTCTCCAAAGAGGAGGCAGCGGGGGTAGTAAAGAAACGGCGTAGGGAAGCACATAAATCTAGGAAACCATTTCCCCCCCTTCATGTTGCTTCTTCTGCACAGTTAGTTGACAAAGACAGACTGCTGCTAGATATGGAGGCTTTGCTCAGCTACCTCAACTTGTTGATACTGGTAAGGAGTGTCTGTGGAGTTTCTTAATTATTCAGGTCATGGTTGTCCCAAAGATGATTTTTTTTTTCAAGAGGCAACTGGACTTTCTGGTTTTTCTTTGAAGATGTTTTGCTTCTCATCCAAGAAGCTTCTTCAGCTCTGACTGGATGGTGGGAGGAATGGAAGGATTTATACTCCTTGCAGACAGCTGGTCATTTGCATTCTTTTAAAGAGCTGTTAAGGCCACCTGGAAG